CTTGGAATACCAGCAGTTAGGAGGCAGGGGCAGGGTTTATTCAGCCACCTCTCTGAATATCCTCCAGGCCCCCAGTAGGCGTCAGTCACGAGCGGTCGCCATGACTTCCAGGTGCACACACACGCATACACACACACACACACACACACAAAATACAACAAAAAATTAGCACACTGGGAATTACTGGTGTGAGGGATTTCAGTGCAAAGAAAAATAGCCTGTAAGTGGCTCATTGATGCAGTATGTAGAATACAAAAGAAGGTATTTTTTCCTGAATAAATGAATGAAATTTGCTTGCAGGGTGAAAACTGGCACAGCCCAGTATACTCCCATCCAGTAGCAGTCATTTCTTTGTTGACCACGCACAATTAGAAAGGGGCAATAATAATCCAGATGTCTGTCCAAACTCAGAAATGGACTCTTGCCTGTTTGTCCTTCTGGGATTTGATGTGGACAGCCTCCACTTCTCCCAAGTCATAGCCAAGGGAGAAAAATCTGGTGCAAGCATGCCTTGTTTACAACTGGAAACATTTATGGTGAAATTGAAATTATTGTATGGCATTGTGTGTGCAATAGCCAAGAGGTCCCAGAGGATCTGGCTGCTGAAGCTGTAGCTCTTTTTTGACACCATTAGGTGAGCTATGCTTTTTTTTTTTTTTAGGTTGAGAGTGTTACAACTTGCCTAAGGTCGCCCAAGTGGGGAAGTGGGGAATCAAACCTGGATCTCCAGATTAGAATCTGCCACTCTTAACCACTACACCAAACTGGCTCTCCAGTTATGGTGAGGCCATAATATTATGGTGAGATCCATAATTATATGTACCAATTTTGTACCAGAATTTGGAGTCTCAGATTCCATTTGGCTTAAACCCCTCCCCTGTCCCACAATAAACATAAGCATAAACTGCAGAATCATAGTATGATATGAAAAGTCAGCAATAATTGGACTCTTCATGGAAAGAATTCCATTTGAAGAATATTGAATACATTCCACTGATACTTACAGATGGAATTCTGAGGTACAAAATGGTAACATTTATCCCTATAATCCTATTCAAACTTGTAATAAGTAACATGCTTGGTAAAAGACAGTGATTCTCTATTGGATGGAATTTAATAAATGAAGTATAGAAAGAGGTCAATTTTATAATCAAAATATCGCTTCCTTTCTTTTTTTATATTAACTCAGCCTTTCTAGCTTCTGCCTGTCCCTGATTATTTGAAGTGTATTGGTTTCAGTCTGATGCTGAAGGCAACCAACCCTAAAGGGCAGTTATATTTCTAGAATACATATAGATTAAGAGGATGGTCTCACACACCAAGGTCTGGGGAGGAGAGAGAGCATGAACCATTCAGTTTGAAGTCAAGGCAAACTTTCCTCAGTGTGGATCACAAACAGCAGTAGGTGGCTGTTGCTATTGGCCGCATCAACATTTCAGAAAGGGCAGAACATTTGAACAAAGAAATAAATCAACCAAGGGAATCAGATTATTATTGTGAAGATAAGGAAAGCATTGAGAAGAGACAGCAAGGTAATGCTTGCTATCCCAACAATAAATCGAGTCTGTAGATGCCAATCAGAATGACTCTGGCTACTCACATGAACACAGCAATCAAAAGGTAGTTACCTCCTATGATTTCCTTATGCCTCCATCTCATCCCAGCCTATAGAGAAGTCAAATACATCTACAGTAAAAGGAACTGTGGCTATTTATTGTGTTGCCTTTGATGTCACAAAGGCAATCAAGAGATTGTTCAGCTTGTTCAGATACTTAACGTGAATCCAGTCGGCAGGGATTATACACCATGTATAGATTATGGTGTTGTAGAACTGCCATCGCCTGTGAGACATGCAGAGAAGTGAACACCTGGAAACATGGGGACTTCTTCAGTTTTGGAAAATGAAAAACTGGCAATTTTGGGGAAAAATTAAAATCTTTCATGAAATATTTTCTTGTATAATGTTGAGTGAAATGATTCTAAATCAAGATTTTAAAATATTTTTGCTGCTCTTTATTCCCTTCCCTTGCTTCCTGATACCTATGTAAGACTATCAAAAGTATTAGGCAGCTACAATTCCTGTATATTTGTAGTTATGTACAGCTCTCAGATTCTCTTGCCTGCTGTCAGTTCTTCCTTCTGTAGCATAACAAAGAAACTGGTATCCCTCTGAAAATATTTACATCAAATCAAGAAAAATGCTAAGATATGAAATAGCAGAGAAACTTGTTTTAGTCCTTGAAAATCTTCAGTCCATGGAGATAAAAATGAGAGTTTGGAGTTGGAAGCTATTACTTTTTCAAAAACTGGTTCTGGTAATATTCTAAAAGACATATTATTAATGTATTATTGTTTAAATGACATGCAGCTAATTTTGTTCAGAATGACTATAACCTTTATTGTATACTAGAAATAATGCCCGTTGCAGAAATAAATACAACGAGATCTAGAAAGAGGCTCTGGGAGAGTGCTCTGGCTTTGGGCAAACAGTGTCAGTTTCCTGTGGCGACCTCAGCAGGGTTTAATGACAGAGTCCACTGTTTTCTCCAGAGGGACTGATCTCTGCTACCTGAAGAGCATTTGTATGTTTGAGTTATCTGTAGCCCTCACCTGGAGAGTGGTAACCATTGTTACCCATTCTCCTCTCCCCTATGAGGTATGTTATGCAACTGAAAATCCCAACTGCCTTGCGGGGGGGGGGAGTTTGAGGTGTGGAATGGACTGAAGTCCAATCAGCTTCCATATGCAAAAGACCAGGTTGTCGCAGCAGTTGTGGTGTGGGCGGGACCCGGGCTTTGCCTTCTGATTGGTGGCGATATATGCTGAGGAGCAGTGCCATCAGCCATACACTAAGGGAGTGCATTTTAGAATTAGAACTTTGGCACCCACTATTCAATTATGTATAAGGGTATATAATAATACATTACTGAGAGGTTCAATGTTATTATAAAGTTTAACTCCATATCCAGACTTAAAGATCTGCAGCAATCTTCTGGGTCACAGGCAGAGACTATTTGTCCAGAGAGTTACAGTACAATCTTAAACAGACAGTTTTCTAATGCTTTTGGGCCTAGAAGGGTGTAACGTTGCTTAGGATCACATTGTTGGATGCTGTTTGAAAGAGGGATCCTTGCTTGTGGTGTTGCCTCTGGTGACCAAGTGTTGCCAGTTTTTGGATAGCACTGACTGCAAGGGGAGTGGTGGTGGCTGTTTTGATTATATGACAGTTATAATTATTTGCTGTATTAAAACCAAAAATGTTACAAGAAACTTTAAACAATCCTGAACATTTTAAAAAAACTTCCCTTTGTTTATTATAGTGTTGATGGTTTATATTTTTATTTTTCTAACCAGCTCAAATTAACATATGTTTATGAACCTTATAATACTATTCTTCTAAGCCTACTCAGAATCCTACTCAGGTCTATTCAGTGGGGCTTACTCCCAGGAAAGTGTTGTGAGGATTGTACTGTTAAGGTGTAGTGGCTTGCTGCTTCATCTTTAAGAACAGGTATATTTCTAATTTAATTTTTAAAAGTTTTAAATTTGAGAAATATACAGTACAAGAGTACATAACTATTTTATAAATAATGTATATTATGTTCTGAAGTTAGTAAAGTACAAATAAATATAAGAAAATACTGATTATATAATATGTCCCCTAAACGTTTTTCCCCTCTCACACCAATTGGATAAAAACATAGTGAAATGCACACTGCAAGCAATAGTGGGGGAAGGAAGATTACTGACCAAGCAGAGGCATTTCTAATATACAGTTGCACATTTTCATTGATACTTTATTGGACTGACATTTACTGTTGTTTCCTACTCTAAACTTTTAGCATGGGGCACCTTAGAACCAAATCAAGCTGGAAAATGGTTTTCATTGCTATTCCTTTCTGCTATAGCATCCCCAATAGCATTAGAGGTGTCAAACCACTTGTGTTTTAAATGGCATCTACTACAACCAACTTTTTAAACTGATCCTGGTCTTATGTCTTTTAAAATGATAGAAAAATAAGCAGGTGGACCTTTTTCTATCCTTTTGTTTTCCCGTCTGGAATTTAACTACGAAATTTTGGTATGAGAAGCGGCAACAAAATTCCAGACAGGACAACAAAAGGATAGGAAAAGGTCCACCTGCTTATTTTTCTATCTTTTTAAAATGAAGGCTCTTAAAAACACAATCATACTTTAGGCCACAATTCTCTGCACATTTCCATGAAACTAGATATATTTTATTCTACCACAAGCTCTTCTAAGTACAGGCAAGATTACAAACGTGATAGAATGGTTCCTGTCCTTTAAACTGGGAGTCGAAGTTTAGGTGATGATTTCACACACACCCCCATCACTGCATCTGCAGAAAAGGAAAATAAAATGACGAATGTATTTTTATTTTATTTTTTTGCCTGTCTCACATCTATTAAAGGCAGAGTAGGAAGCCCCATACAGGGCGAGGAAGCGGATAATTCCAGGTCTACAGAGCTCTTTCCTCCTTCTGTGAATGTGAAACTAAATCGGTAGATCTACCAAACCGACTCTCTTGTATCAATGCAAGACTTCTTCTTGTAGCGTGGAGAAAACAACGCTGAGAGGGCTGCCCTACTAGGAATTCCCGGGGCTGCTCTCGCCTAGACAGGGAATTCCATAAGTGCGGGGGAAGGGAACCTCCACACAGCTCCTTAATTAATTCACATACTTCCGGGTTTCTATTCCATCTGCGCATGCGTACAGTCTTATCAGCCTCACCCCCGGACCCAATCTGTTTAGACCGTACCATTAATAGAAAACAGCGTAAGGGTCATGTGTCACCCCCCTCGTTCTATTAACGTCTCCGTTAGCCTCTGAACCCCTTTAGCTTTGGTCTCGAGATTCTGTCGGTCCGCACGGTTATTAAGCGGGGTGGCCGATGCCTTCCTTCTCTGCCATTTAGTCCCCACCTCTTCCTGGGTGTTGGTACACTCCTCTCCCAGTCGAGCCTGCGGCCGGGCAAGACCACCCTACTCGCCTGAGGGGGAGGAGCCGAGGGCATTGTTGGGTCAGAGGGCACGCGCTGCTCGCGGGGGTGGCGTGTTGGGGTCCGTCACAAGCCCCCGTCAGCTGCCGCCCGCAGCTCAGTGTCACCTCAAGCGCCACAGGGTGCGGCTGCGGCTGCCTCCCTTTCCGCCGCCGCCTCCTCCTTCGCCTCCTCACTCACCCACCCTGCCACCGCCGCAGTGGTTGCGCCCGACTCCAGCTGACCGGCCTGGAATCCCGGCTTCGAGCCCCGGCCTGGACCCCTCCGCCTTGAGCCGCCCCCTCCCCGACCCCGAGACCTGGTGGTGCTGCCGCCGCGGCCGCCGCCATGGGAGACGCCGGCAGCGAGCGCAGCAAAGCTCCCAGCTTGCCGCCCCGCTGCCCCTGCGGGTTCTGGGGGTGAGTACGTGGTCTGGCGCAGAAGGCAGCGGCCGGGCTGATGTGGGACTCCCACCACGTCCCTCTGTTTCCGCCTCTTTCGGAGCCGGGGCCCCCCTCCCTGTGCTTCCTTCGCCCCCGCCCCCAGGAGCGGGGCGGCCCTTCTGCTGTCATGGAAATCTCTTTCCGAGGGCCGTGGCTGCCTTTGGTGCATCACAGTGGGGGGCTAGTAGGGGCTGGAAGGGCCTACGCGCCGCCTCCTGAAGAGGGTGGCGAATCAAACGCACGGAACTGAAAAAGAATGACACCAGCATGTCCCATCCTGATATCTTCTGCTCTTGCTTTATCTTTTCCTTTCCTCTTTCCCCCCCACGTTCCTCAGGGTTTCAGTCTCCATATTCTTCCTCCTTTCCTCTCTCTTTGCGTGTGGCATGCTCTTGTTGGGTGATTCTTAGGTATCACAAGTTTGCTTGTCTTGTTGTCTAGATGTGACATCTTTGCGTGGCCTTCACTGCCGTTTGTAGACACTGCAGACAACTTCCCCCAACTGAACGGCTTCAGATCCCCCCCATACTTGATTTCTTTTCTTCAAGTGAATGAGGAAGTTTGTCCCAGTTTGAAACCCTTCATCTGAACAATAACAACAGTCATGGTGCAAGCAATGTGATAGCAGTGGCACCAGTACAGAAGAACGTTCCTTGACTTCTTGGTGACAGGCAAAGAAATAATCTTAGCTGTTGTGGACTATATAGGTCTGTATAGGCCTAAGGAATGACCAATTCCTATTTAAAGGCCTGCATAGGGAAACCTTTACCTTTACTATGTGTTTCTTAGGCCTATATAAAAGTAGGAAGGGAAGCTAACAATGGGTGTGGCTTCTGAAATTTTCTATCCTCAGTAGGATTCTTGGAGTAGAATTTAGGTTTCTCTCAGAGGTTTGGATCGGTTGTTTAGTGAGGCATCCTGTAGAAAGACTTTGGGAAGGAAAAGATTGGGTGAGAAGCACAAGGCATTTTGTTTACTGCTGGCTTGGTGTGTAGTGGGTACCCTGTTTCCCCGAAAATAAGACCTACCCCAAAAATAAGCCCTAGCAGGATTTCTATGCATTTGTGGCATAAGCCCTAGTGTGTCTTCTTGAGAAAAAATAAATATAAGACAGTGTCTTATTTTCGGGGAAACACGGTGGTTGAAGTAGAATCTGGGAGGCTCCAGTTCAGATTCCTACTTAGACATGAAGCTTACTAGCCAATCGCTCTAACTTGCCTCACAGGGTTGTTGAGAGGATAGCCACCCTGAACTCCTTAGAGGAGGGCTCGAATAAAGTCCTAAATAAAACAAGTCATCAATGGTCTACATTGTATTGTTGGACTGAAGGGGTCAGGTCCTGTATAAAGTATGGGCAAGCTAGGAAAGGTGTGAAATACAACACAGGTACAAAATGTTCCTTCAGAGAGTATTTACTAAGTGTGATCTGATTTTAAAAAGGTAATCAAAATAGTAGTTTTATAATCTGTTTGACCTATAACATGTTGATAGATGTTCAGGTCAGAATTGTAAGTATTACTGACCTGTGTGGGCGGAGTACCTTGTTTCTGTAAAAAGTCATCCAGCCTGGTCACCTGTGATGAATTATACAATTTATTCTTGTCAGGAAAGCTCTTAAACTTGGACAAAATTTTTCTTTGATCTGTGGTTGTTGATCTGCCATAAATAATACAGACAGGCTAGTGAACATTTTTGTGTATGTTTTAATATGAGGGAATGGTACTTTAAACTTGGCAGTATCTTTTATATCACTCTGCTTCCAAGGGGCTACTGGTTTAGGACTTTTGTGTGGTATGGCAAGCACCTTAAATAAACTAATTAACAAATTAGTATTTTCTATGGCCTGTGTAACATTAGCTTCAACAGATCATGGTTTAAAGGGGGATGTGGAAGGTTGTCAAACCTTACTAGGTTTGACTTATATTGGCAAGTCTTTAAATGAAGACGATTCTATAATTTAGGATGTAAACTGATATGCCAGCAATTCCCAGTGGGAGAGCTATGGTACCCATCAGTGTGTTTCCTGGTGCTACTTGCTTCTTAACTCTTGTGAGGGAAATCCAGAGACTCTTGAATGGAACAGGGGTGTGTGTGTGAACCTTTGAGTCACATTCTGCCAGCTGACTGACCAGCAGAATGCTGAGTTTGGTCTGGGCACATATCATGGCCATGCACCTGTAACTTGGCTATAGATGCAAATTCATGCCTCTGGATTTACTAATCTATGCTTGTGGGCACACCGAGAGAAAATCCTCCTCAAACAGCGAAGCAGAGCTTTGATTTTGCTCTAATTGGCAGACTTTTGATGATGGTCCTGTTCACATGACAGACACTTATGACTGCTTCCCCCCTCCCTGTGGTACTTGTTTTGTAGTGGTTCCCACAAATCTTTCTCAGATTCAGAACATTTCCCTCAGGGTCAACTGGTAGGCTTCCCAAGTCCCCCCGGGGGCGGGGAAATCCCCGCCCCAGAGGCCCATTCCCCGCCACTGGCGGATCAGGGCCCGGGGGGAACCCCACCCCGGCGTGCGCGTCACCAGGAAGTGACGTTATGATGCCGGGCACACTGGGGGTGGGGCCACGGTCATCCGAGGGAAAACTCTATGATTTTCCCTCGCATGGTCGTGCCCCCCCCAGCGTGCCCGGCATCATAACGTCACTTCCTGGTGACATGCGTGCGGCTCTAGCCGCAGACTGGCAGTCCCCTGGTAAGTACATTTTTCGGCTTGGCAACCCTAGTCAACAGTGTGCTGTGCACACTGATGTGAGGGTCAGTCTAATTGAAAACAGTGGTTCAGATGGACATGGTGTTAGGCAAATTCTGCTTTTTAAAACTACAAGGTCCTTTTTAGCTATTTTTCTGCTTTTGTCTGTTGTGCTTTGTATTTTACTTGGGGACACTGGAGAGTAGTCTTCATATTTTTATACCTTTCCCCCCTGGTTTTTCAGTTTTCTTCTCAAAGATTTTGATTCCTGTGCCTTTTGCTTTAATTTCACTTCTCTCAGTTTACCTAATTTAATGTCCGAAACTGGCTACACACAAGAGGACCATATCAGTTCACAGAGTAAAAAGAGGTTGATATCTAAAAAAAGACATTTATTTGTGTGTTTAGAGGTAGATAGGCTTTGACTCGTTTCAAGTTAAAGCAGTTAAGCAGGAGTTAAACTGGATATGCAACTTAGGTGGAAAATTTCTCCCATTTGTAATGCTATGATTTTTGCTTGTATATAGCTTGATGTAACTAGTGATAATTAACATGTTCTTGTTGGAATACTTTTAAAGTAGTATGATAGCCTGAGAAGGTGTTTTCTCTATTTTGTATTTGTCGGAGAGCAGTGTTGGTTAGTTTCCCCAATTTACTGTTGTTCTCTTCAGTTCCACTTTGGTCAGAGAGCCAATATGGTGGAGTAGTCAGAGCGTCAGACTGGGACTGGAGACACAGGAGCTCACATTCCTGTGTGAAGATCTGGGCCAGTCACATTCAGCCTAACCTACAGTGCAGGATTATTGTAAGGGTAAAATGGAGGAAAGGAGGAGTATGTCACCTTGGTGGAAGGCTAGGATGAAAACAGGATGGATCATCTGAAAAATCTTGCTATATCTGAATTTTGTGCTATGTTCAGTGCTACTATCTATAGGCTCAGTCCAGAAAACTTGTATAATGTAGTTATGTGCTAGAGACAACGGTTACAGACTGATATCTCTTTGACTGTTATGTGCAGTAGTGCCAAAGACAAGTGATGTGTTATCCTGGGCAGTGCTTTCTGCCTGTTCAGCAGTGGGAATATCAAAGGAACCTCTAGTTGTATATGTACTTTTCCTTGTATGCTTATAGCATAATTGCATCACAGCTATATTTCTGTGGCCCTGCATCTAGTTATTAATAGCAGCATTGAATGATGATACTCTTGTGGAACTCTGCTGGGTGATTCCTACTAATAATAAGTATAAATCCTTTTGGATTGTTACCAAGTATATAAGGTTTGAGCAAGAAAGTATGTTGCTGAAGCAGGGATATATAAGTAGATCTTGCATAGCATTCTTGAACAAGCTTTCTTTTTGGTTTTCTTTTACAAGAATATGTCAGGAAATGGTTTGAATATAAGAAAGAAAATAAATGCACAAATAGTTTGTTCTGTTTATGTTTTTCCAGTTTAAGCTTTTAACTATCACAGATTTGTAAGAAGAAAGTTTCAAAATTTAGGTAGCTAATTTTTTTCTTAGTCTAGTTTACTAGAAATAGAACTTTAAATGATTCAGAGTGCTAATCTCTTACACTCCTACCTCCTTAATATAGGAAACTAAACCAGGCATTAATTAATTTATGTTGTCTTTTATTGCTTTGCCTTCATTATTGAGAAGTGGCCCTATGGTTTTGTTTGCCCATTCAGGTTGTTATCCAAATTGCCAGTCATTTACTCCTTTTTTTGACTGAATGTCACCTTTAGCTGAAGAACAAAGTTTGAGTCCACTGGCACCTTTAAGACCAAAAATGTTTAATTCTGGATATAAGCTTTCATGTGCATGCACACTTCATATTCCCAGAATCAAACTTTGTTGGTCTTAAAGGTGCCACTGGACTCAAACTTTGTTCTATTGCTTCAGACCAACATGGCTACCCACCTGAATGTATTTTTAGCTGAAGTGAGACATGCTGATGGTTGAGCATCAGGAGGCTACACACCTGCTGTTTCCATAGTTTTCTGATAATTTTCAAAGTTGTGTTAATCAAGTATGGCTCATGAATGGCAGTGGCCAGAATGATCATAGCAAGCCAATGGAAAAGTCACCTCAAACCAACAATGAAAGCTAACAAGGTAGCTGAATATTTTGTATTAGACAAACTAACAGATGCAATAAAACAGGCAGAAAATAGTGAATACCATTCGTTGCTGGTAGAACAATGGTTCCCTGTAGTACCAAATTTATCTAATAATGATATGACTGTAATTCTTGCATACATCCAAAAATGTTA